TTGACCACCAGGGGCAGACACTGCCAGCTTAGGGGAGTGGGTCTAAGCCAGCCATGGGCAAACTATGGCCCATGGGCCGGATCTGGCCCGTTTGAAATGAATAAAACTATTGAAAAAAAAGACCGTACCCTTTTATGTAATGAGGTTTACTTTGAATTTATATTAGTGCACACAAACACTCTATCCATGCTTTTGTTCCGGCCCTCCGGTCCAGTTTAAGAACCCGTTGTGGCCCTCGAGTCAAAAAGTTTGCCCACCCCTGCCCTAAGCCTTTCCTGGTCTACTGCTGTCTTGTAAGGGGCAGCCAGCATCTTGTTGGGAGGATGAAGTGGCACCCGGGGACCCATGGCAGGAGCCTGGTGGGCGCCTGGGACTGCTCCTGTGCAGTCTCGCATCCATGCCTCATGTGCCTCATCTCTAACAAGTCATTCAGCACCCAGAGCTCCCGTAGGCAGGTAGCTCCGGCCTTGAAGGTGTCTGCCAGTTTCAGATGTCAAAGCTCCGATCACAGAATGGGCGATACCACCAGGTCTCTCTCTCTGCAGGATGCTCCGTGTCTGCTGAAGGCCTTCTTGTTCTAGGGCAGTGAGCTCTAACCTCATGTTTGTGGGGAAAGGAAAGGAGCAGACCAAGTAGGGGCTGCCGTCCCGCTCTGGGCCACTGGAGTTGAGAAACAACGTGCCTGGACCAAGAGACAGCAGAGAGCCTTGACAACAAGGGTTTCTCAAGGAGGCCCTCTCTGCCCCCAACTGCTTTGACCCCTTTCTTCCTGCCTCTCTCCCCAGAGTCCCTGCAGGAGGCACCACCCAGGCTGGCAGATCATGGTGGCAGCAGCGGGGGTGGCTGGGAAGTGAAACGGAGCCAGCGGCTGAAGAGGGGCCCTAGCAGCCCCCGAAGGTCCTATCAGGACATGGAGTATGAAAGACGGTGAGTTACCTGCTTCCGCCTTGACCAAACAGCCTAGGCTCGTCCCGTGTGAAGAACTGATCCAGGAAGGTACCAGGAGGAGGCCCTCAGGCTGAGGAGACAATGTGAGCCAGGACCGGTGTGCTAGGCTCTGGGAGTGCCCCGGTGAATGAGACAGAAAAGATTGCAGCCTTCTCTCTATTACTCGGGGTCTCACAGCAGAGCCCACACCGTTTACAGGGGATTCCGAAACAGTTGGATGGGTGCCACGGTTGTGAGGGTAGTAGGAAGGGATCAAGAGAAAGGTGTTTCTAGTTTGGGGGACCCAGATAGGTGGTATATGGTGCCATTCGCCAAGGTCTGAACAGTCACTGTGGGAGGAGAGGCAGAGATGGGAAGTGGGTTGTAAATGCCTGTGGATTCTCGGCAGAGGTGTGAGCTGTAGCTTTGGGTTGAAGGGATGGATGAGAGTGGTGCTTTCAGTCAGGAATTTGCCAGGACAAGTATGGGGCAAGACAGGTCAGATGGTGGGGAGATTTCAGGGGCAGAGTGGGCTGAAGTTGGCATGATACTTGCCTTGGAATGGGGCACTCATGTAGTTATTTTTAAACTCTGGTAGAGCAAGAAACAGTTGGGACACTTGATAAAATACAGACTTCCCAGGCCATTCCCTCACCATCCTGCTGTACCACCCCAGTTTATTCTAATGAAGGTGCTCTATTCTTTACATATTAGGATTACGTAGGAAAGCAGACCTCTATTAAGAGTCAGTAGATTTATAAAAAATCAGGAAAAAAATAATTTTTAATGTCCTGCAAAGGGCTTCTCCTACCAACAGGCCCTTTTAAAAATGTAGAATTAGCCCTGGCCAGTTTGGCTCAGTGGATAGAGCGTTGCCCCGTGGACTGAAGGATTCTGGGTTTGATTCTGGTCAAGGGCATGGTGCTTGGTTGCAGGCTCAATCCCTGGCCTTGGTTGGGGTGCATGTGGGAGGCAGCCAATCGATGTGTCTCTTCCCCTCCCTTCCACTCTCTCTAAAAATCAATGGAAAAATATCTTCGGGTGAGGATTAACGAACAAAAAAAGTAGAATTATAATATTTTGTTTTCTGAAAAGTGAAGCCCAAATTGAGATGTGTTATTCAGCCTTGACCTTCTTTAAAAATGTCTTTTGAAAAGCATTTGATTTTGGATGGGATTCACTGAAGTGCTCTGTGGCCGTTTCTGAGTGCAAGTAGGTGACATAACTTGCCTGCTTCAGACTTTATTACCAAATAAAGCCACTGGCTTTCTTTTTTGGGCTTTTAAAGGACCTCAAGTGCAGAGGTTTGAGTTATTCATGCTTGTCTAGTTCACAGTAAGTTTCTATCGTAGGTCAGTACAAAGGCCTTCTCTTGCCTTATCTTTCCCTTTTTAGTCCCAATTCCCATAGCTGTAGGCAGCTTCTCTGTCGTGTTTGAAATGTATTCTTTGAAAATATCTAGTGTTGTTTAGAGTTGTCTGTTTTCACTTTCCACAAATAATACATTGTTATAGTCTTCATTTTCCCCCCTGAACTTTGTATAACTCAGCACTGCATTTTTTTAAAAGATCTGTCTGTATTGCCATGTGTATATTAGTGTTTTGCTTCTAATTGGTCCCAAAGACACCATAGGATATGCCTCCTGCATTTTGCTTAATGATTCCCCCAAGGATGGATACCTGCTCTTAATTTGAGGGTGCTAAAATTCATCATCACTTTTTTGTCTTACAATCTGTGCTTTCAGAATCTTCTGTGTTCCTACCTCTGGATTGCAACAATTGTTTTCACTGTATAGTTTTACCTTTCTCATTCAGGTCTTTAAATTCAGTTTTGAATATGGTATAAGGTAGATTCTGGTTTTATTTTCCTTCATATAGTGGGCAGTTTCCCTAGCACCATCTCCTAAATAGTAGTACCTCATCTCATTTCAAGTTACCTCATGTACATGGGTCTGTCCTGAGCAATCTAATTTGTTTCATTGATTTACTTGTTCTTTCTTGTGCTAGAACCTTACTGTCTTTATTATTATGGCTTTATAGACTGTCTTTTTAAAAAATATATATTTTATTGATTTTGTACAAAGAGGAAGGGAGAGGGATAGAGAGAAACATCGATGAGAGAGAAACATGGATCAGCTGCCTCCTGCACACCCCGCACTGGGGACCTGCCCGCAACCAAGGCACATGCCCTTGACCGGAATTGGACCTGGGACCCCTCAGTCCACAGGCCGATGCTCTATCCACTGAGCCAAACTGGTCAGGGCTAGAATGTCTTAATAGCTCCCACTTTTCTCTTATTTTTAAAAGTTGATTTAGCCAAGTCCCTCAAAAACATTCTAGAATTTTTTCTGAGGTTGCATTGAATTGATACATTAATTCAGGGAGTATTGTCAGTTTTGTTGCCTTTCTCTTCTCCTCCTCTCCCGCTTCCTTCCTGCTTCCTCTTCCCTCTCACCCCCTCCTCCCATATAACATT